GTTGGTAGTTACTGGTGTTTAAACTTTAACCTTAATCGCTAATTTGCTAGTAATCGCTGCATAACGCGCATCAAAATTGGACTCAGTCATTTATTAATATGCACTGAGAACAAATAATATTTAGATAGACTAAGATATTAGGATTATTTGGGGTTAATATTTAAGGGCTTTGTCTGGTCTATCTGATTTACGAACTTTAAGGATGCGTGCTTTATCAGAATGAAATGGCTTCCGAAGCCGACTGAATGCTTAGTCGTTCAGAAACAAAACTGTAAAAGCCTGAGGCATAGGCAAGCGAAATAGACATTTATTTACAGTGAAGTTAAATCGCACCTATGATCCCATGTACTCTGAATGCTACATTTGTTGTGTGTATTCCAACCGGCCGATAGGTCTGTTGTTATTCAGGGTGGGGAAGAATATAGGTCTGTAACGTGGGATGTCGGGGATTCAATTCCTTACACGACGCCCCCGTTGACCTCATCTGGCTAACAGTAATGGGCAACAATAAAGAATAGTCACCAAAGTCAAACTATCCTGAATCGACCAATCATATCTCTGCTCAGCATTACGAATGGATGCTGTTTAAATTATCTTCGTTACAAGTTTCAACCAGATATGGCTTTTGACTTCTGTGTGGAAAATCGGTTGAGATAAAGAGGACTAAGACATGTCTGTGTGGTGGAGAGATACGAACTCTTCAGAAGTACTACAGGACTATTGATGGTTATCTACACAGATAAAATCCCTGTGATATATGACGAAGTCTGTTAGCATTGGTAAGTTGTACATTTTGGTGATTATTTTGGGTACATTCTTCTCGAAATATAAATTCTACCTTACACTAAAGTATTGCGTGTACGTTACATTTGGCTTCTGAGACGATCAGAAGTATCTGCTACATTTGCGGGAACGGAGAATACTAAAATGTTATCAGTGCAGTGGTATCCACACTGTCGGGATAATGCCTCATTAAGGGCAATTGGAATTACTTGTGCAGTTAGAGGAATTAGTGTCATTGTTTATACAGGCAAAGCAGTATTTATTTGAAAGTCAGACAAATCCTGATGAAGGATTCCGGGTCTGTCTACAAAATACGCATGAGAATGGCAAATGGTTTCTAATATGATATAATATACAACCATTTAGATGAACTTTTTATCGATATTTGATCCGATCTGCCTAAAGCCAAACTCCTATGGGAAACTGGGACCTCTTTATGCAGCATATGACAGGTACATACCCTGTGTAATTTTTTATCACATGAATATATAAATATGTATCTTATCAGAAGACTTTTTATACAATAAATGTCCCCTTTCAGCTACAAGAATCCGAATGGCTGGTTCTATTCTTTACTGTCGCCTAGTAGTCCCTAGAAATGGGTTATGTGGCGTATGAGGCTGACACCACACTCGATTTGGAAACAACATAATCGTTACGCTGAAAATTCAAAGTTTAAGACGTGTGAAGCTCCCCTCCTTCCTGCACCTATGGCATACTGAAAATGCCGTGAAATGTAAATAAAACAATTAGTTGTTCACCTACTATTGTCATCATTATCATTTAGTATTATTTTCTTAATGCGTCATTTAAACCTCGTCAGCAAATAAGTTTTCCCCAACGTTTCAGTTATTCTAGTTTGAACAGAGAAAGAATGAGCATATCTGCAGTATGCAAGCTCATTTTATCTCTTGGATTCTCGTCGATTGCGTAAATCCTAAACAGTGTCGAATTGTGGAATTCTTAAGTTCTGAACACACTTTATTCACAGTGCCTTATATTTATAGATAGAAAGTATAAGCGCGATATAATTCCAAAAATGATGTCAGTGGACGAACTATTTAGTGTCACAGGAGTAACTATTTACATGGTAATTAGACAACGGCTTAGACTTCATATCTCTCTTGGACGCAAGAATGGACTGGAGACAGAATACATATCAATATGGAGAGTTGAATAAGATGGGAGTGAATAATGAAGTAAAATTATGACATAGACAAATTAATTTAATAGATTTAGAAACTTAATAATGATGAGTTCAACTCAGTAAGTAGGTGTAAATCAAAATCAAAATTAAGTGGAATTTTATACAACACAACAAAACACAAAAACACACGAACAATACAATTACTGTTGACACGTTAGTGAGGCATTAGTCACACTAACTTTCTATATACAGAGACTGGTTAAAAGTGTTTTGTTGATAGCAATGGCTTCTGCAAACCGAAGTTACCGTGGTTTACTTTGTATGTTGGTTGTTTTGAAAGTCCAACTACTTTCTGCTGTTTGCCCTGTGTCTGGCAAATACACTTGAAAATACTCTGCTACTTTTCGTATGGAGTCTTTTAGATATATGATTAGAAAATTTAATAGACGGTCTACTCTCACTCCTTCCTGTGTAATTCATGTCGTTAATGCAAGAGAACTGGTGAATGCAGTTGACGTTGACATGTGGAGCAGGATACATATCTACATTTAACCGAGTTAACAAGCATGCTGTATTGTGAAGTGGAATGAGTCTCGCGTTGTGAATTCTTCTTTCCAATGCACACATGAATCTTTTCTCCGTTATTGTGGATGCTTCTTCCCTTTGAAAGCTAGAGACGTAAAACATGGTTCCCATTCAACTATTTCAGGGATGCAGTCTCCACCTCTATAATTTAATAGGAACATTTGAGTGTACCCATTCTCAATAAGGTTCTTTTCGATATCTGAGAATTCCCATTCAATAAAGGCCCCAGCTCCACTAACGGTTGTTTATCACAGGCAAAACCTGTGGTAATTTAAGTATCAAACAGTCCATGTTTCTTTTCTATGCCTGAAATCTTCAACTGTACTTCAAATTTCCCTTCTTCTAATGAGATCTAAGAAGTGGAATTGATTATCACAATCACTATCTATTGTGAGTGCAATATAGAGATGAGCCAATTGGAGTTTTACAAACATCAGGGACGTGTGTTCCATATTCCTGAAAACCACAAACGTGTTGTAAACATACCTGCTGTATTAACGCGTAGTGCTGCTCTATTTACGGTTTCATTCGAGTATTTTCAAGATGAGCAATGAACATATACTGGCTCATGAGTGGGATGCACAGGTGAAACCACAGTCACCCCGTCAATCTATGAGATAAAACAACCTCGAATTCCATATGAGATGGAATATGCAATTATATACCACCACAGTGCACAAGTTCTACACTTTCATTAACAACCTCTTATTTACCTACAAATATGCTCAGTGTTTTCACTGTTCATACTAATAAAGCGAACCGGTTGCACAAAATTTTGTCGCCTTATTTAGAAGTGAAAATCCAAGTTCCCTTGTGTAAGGTCACAAGTGCTAGAAAGTCCTTATTAGTATGCAAATTTCACCAATTCCTTACTCACTTCATGGTGTGCACCACCTCCATCTCTCGATTTTTCGAATATTTTTGATTAAGTTGGCAATGTTGGTTGGATTTATATTTGTTTAAAACGAGGGCTCTGTGGTATTATATAATTCCATATTAGTTTGTTAATCAGACAATCAAACAGTGAAGAAATGGCTACTTTCTACATGAGTACCTAAACATGTCGCTTTATGGAGACGGTAAGCAACAAATTCATTTTTGAGCAAAAAGTTGAAATTGAACAAACAGTTCCACTAGAAGATATAATAGCAAGACTGCTGCTATGCCTGACATTCAAACTATTTAAATTCCATGGGAAACTATATAAACAAACTGAAGAAGTCGCCATGTTGTTATCAATATACACAACAAGTGCCAGAAATATTCATGAACACGTGAGAAAATTCAGCAATCGAAACGCTGAGCCCCACTCACTTACAGACTGTGGTGGAGGTATGTAGGTGACACATTCACCATGCTCAAAACACAGGACATGAATGGATTTTTCGAACACATCAAATCGAAGGTCAGGAAGATTCAATTCACTAATGAATTCAAAATTCAAGAAGGTGAGCCCCCATTGTCAGGTTGTAGCATGAAATAAGGAAAGAAGACACTACTGTGTTCACAGGAAACAAACACATTTAAAATGATACTTAGATTTCCAATAATCCCTCCATGTTTCAGTAGGAATAGGATTGGTGAAATACTGAAGTAATAGGGCAGGAAAGCTAAATAGTACCATGAGGAATCTAAGATAGGCAGTGAGGCATGCAAGAGTAGCTTTGAAACTTACTCATAATAAAATTGAAATAAAATATTAAAACCTGATGTAGAAAACCGTCAAAATAAAATTACTAATAATAATGGTTAAGATAGGGACTATAATGACAATAATAATAACAATTTGCTTAATTCTAAGACAGAACTTATGACACAATACAGAATTCTCTGCATTTGCTACGATATTCCACCTAACTCACTCAACATCAGCAAAAACAGCAAAAACATTACAGTGTATACATAACGGAAAATGATAACGCCAATATCTTCGGCCTTAGCAGTAATAGCGAAGTCGAAATTGTACAAAAAGTGTAAGAGGAGTGTAACAATAATAATATTAATAGCTTAAATCATAAGACGATTCCAATAATGTTATCAGAGAAGCCATTTATTCCTAATAATTAAGCCTAATACTGTCTCTATCACATTGAACTCTGGCGAGCGGCCACATGCTGTGTCCTTGAGTTTTCCTAATTAGTCGTGTGAACAAGCGAATAATCTTTCATAATGACCTCTAGTCCTATCTGATGAGATATTCAAGCTAAGCGGCAGAGTTGTGATTGGAGAGGTTGATGAGAGAGACATCATGGATCTAGCGGATTTCTCGCATGAGTTCAGGTGTGTGTCGAGTACGATGGAAACGAGCCAGTTTAGTGACACGCTACTCGACCTTCGAATAACCGTTAATTCACTTCCAGTATATCTACACACTTGAGACGCATACGTCAGTAGACATAGAAGACAAAGACTCAAATAAACATTTTTATACACAAGTAGATAAACAAAAACATTTTTGACAAGTTAATCACTTATTGAAACATACCACTGAAGCATGTTAGTGTCACAATGACAACAGAAATCCCCTGTAAAACTAAATCACTACCGTAATAACTGGCTGAATTCGTTGATTTCTCCTGTTCCTCTATCAATTCACTTACTGTTTGTTGGATGGCTTCACTCAGCTTTGCATTATCTTTGTCAAATTCCTCCTTTATGGTTTTAATGAGTTTATCTGCGATTTCGTTCGCTTCTTCTGCTGGCAAATCACCGGTGACTTTTATTACGGGGGTTGCAGCCTCGTCTTTGTCAGAAAGGCCTTTTAAAAGAGCGGTGTTGTGCATAAATTTTGCATTGTCAGCATTGTCACCAGCACAAACTGACATAAACGCATAGAGAGAAATCGAAATTATGTAGAGTTTCCAAAGCATCAGAATATTCTCCGTGAGAATTTGTACAATCTGAAGTTGTGTGAGTGAATGAGAATATATCTGTACATATATATATATATATATATATATATATGCACATGGATTGCATCCCTCCAATTTGTTGTTCAATACAACATTTATAAGTGGACATGTTTGGCATATATTGTACATGCTTCTGCCTCTCAAATTTCAATTTAGTCAATAAAAAGTGGTCATACAAATTTCAAGTTTAAGAAAGCACAAAAAACACAACTGAATAGAAAGGGGCAAAGTTTTCGTTTCGAGACTAGACGCCTGATATAAAACGTGTTCAATCACATTTTATCATGCTTTGTTTTCGTAATTTCTCTTGTAAAACCTGATTTTGATGACGATAACTCAATTTCTTATGTCATATGAATAAACATGTTCAAATGAGATGTGAAAACATGAAACAAGCAGTGTTCAGTGGAGACTACCTCATCCTGGCCAATTCATTCTCTCCTCTCTAGCTGTGCAATCTCATTTAATCCAAGTTTGGCCAAGGACTGACATGAGTTAGATAAGCGTTGGATAGCAGGTAAAGTGTATTAGACAGCTATTTCGTCTCAAATTGGGACTCATCGTTACTACTGATCTACTAGAGTTTTCTGATATTTTGGACATTGTGACTACAACACAAGCTCATATTTCATTCAGTCACTGAGTCTCGATTCAGATGGCTCATAAATGCTAGCTCCTGTGAAATTGTGATTTCAGGTTGACTGGCACTAGCTAATTCAATCCACGGTGAGTATTTTTCCTCACTCTCAACCACTTGGTGGACTTTGCCTAGAACTCAAGGCAGCTTCGTCCTCCAACAAGTCACTAGTGAGCAACGAACTATTTCATCAAGAGTCAATCTGTAGGGTGAGGATAAATAGTTGCCGCACACGACGTTGGTTGCTGGTCGCGCCAAAATCACGAGTGTGTTGAAGTGAGAATTCATGGAGTGGCTATTGAGTCGGATCTCAGTGACTGAATGATAAACCAGCTCGTCGTTTCACGGAATGGTCCTGGAATCAACCACCGTTGAGTACCAAATAAGGGCAAAACAGATGTAGAATGATCCTAAGTTTTCAATGCTCCTCCGAATGATGTCACTCCGCTGTCAAACTCGCAGGGCAAATCAAATGCCCACGACTAAAATCTAGAGATTTGTGTTTATGTAAATGTTTCGGGAAATAGGGTGGTAATGGAAATGATGCGTTGTCCTCACAATCATAGTTGTCAGTTTTAATCAACCCATAAGATGAGTTGAAAATATGAATAAGAGTTAAACAATGGGATGGATAGTTTGAAGAAAGAATGAGTTATGGTCACGATGCACACAGAAACGAAGTTCTGATGACAAAACAATTTCCACAGAAAACAGCCAAGTAGACACCATAATAATAGAAGAATTAGTTGAGCAATTTCATTTCCCAGGCACAGCTTTGGTTTCTCTATCCAGCTGGCTATATCATCACGAATACAGAGGAGATGAAGGCAAATTCACTGTCGATGTCAGGTTGCTCTTCACATTGTAGATTACTTCGACCTACCTTAGCTTACCAATAACAACCGATGCATCTGTTCTCCTCATAGCCTACACTCACATCTAAATATTCTAAGAGAAATTCTTATGTAAAATGGATACCCACCGAGAGGAACATCATAATGAATGTCAAGAGGAACGAAATTTCCCCTGTTACAACTTAAAAGCTTTGCATGAACCTGGATTCCAAGGGAGGCGGTAATTAATCTGCGATATCCTCAAGAGGAGAATTTCATCATCTCTGAGACGAACATTCTCCTCAGTAATGCTAAGAGTAGTGTCTTCCAAGTGGTCTGCTGAAATTTTAAGGAGAAGATCTCACATCTCATCACTTCTGTGTGTGTGCATATATCAGACAAGGTGTTCTTGTGGAGTCAGGCATATTCGTCGTTCGATGCGTATCCTATAATCACAATAATTTGTTTTGCAAAAGAGACTGTGATGATGATTTCACCCCTTGATCTGTGCGCATTGCAGATGGCTGAATGGCTTGTAAATCGTGAATTTTATTCAACTTTCTATCCATGTCATAGGATGGACAAGTTTGGCATCTGTAGTAACTGCTTTAAATATCACAATTGAATTTCCTGAAGCATTGCTTGGTACGAGATAAATAAAAAGAAACGGATTTCTAATTCTCTGACTGTACACTTGACATACAGCAAGTTCAGTAATATTTCTGCGTGCTCTGTTTTTTTTTCAACTGGTGTTTCGGTAATCCAGATTTTAGTGACAAAACACAATTTTGCCAACACAATTTTAAACTCAGTTTCCGATCAACTTTAGTGTGATACAGTGAGTAAGATAAAGCTCTGCTTAAGAGTACAGGTCAAAAGTGGTAATATATCCAGTGATATATTAAATTGTAGGTTGATCAAATCAACCTTAAGCACTCTCAACACTGCACAACTATACCTCAGTTTCTCAACCAGATTGATACTACTGACACGGTGCATCAACGATAAATTACCAAAGACGGACACATCAATGTGTGTTTTAAAATTCAAGTGCTCGTGTGGAGTTAGTAATATATTGGTAGTACTGAGAGGAATTTACCTTTACGAAGTTGTTAAACTTAGAAAAAAGAGTAACCAAATCTGTAAATGGTACCATTTTCGTCTCATCTAGAAGATGGTGAACACCGCATCAAAATGGATGAGTCATTCATTGACGGTTGTATATTGAGTATCAAACAACCTGCCTAAAGTTACACGATTACGTCTAGTAGCTAAAGCGGATTCTAAGAGATTTAAAGAAGAAACCTGCCCAATGTGTGCAAAAGAAGCACATTCGTCCTCCTTGTTTACCTTGGCCTACTATAAGGTCAACAGGCAAATAATCATTCATATTTTCATGTTATATTATCGCCTTCTTATTCCTTTTCACCTAGTTCACTTGACTGCATTATTATCCTTATTACATCATCAACCTTTGTAATTTATACTAAGCTTATCGTGTTTCTATGATTTGATTACACTTCACAGTCTAACCTTTTAATTTTATCACTACATTTGATATCTATCAGCCCTTCCTTAAACTTGCATTCAGTGTTCCCCATTTTTTGTATTTGTTTGTATGCACTTTGTGGTAATCATTTCCCTCACACACCATTAAATATAACTCATCTCCCCAATGAAACTTATATTCCATATTAGTTTGTTTATCAGGTATATCACACAGTGAAACAGTATTATTTACAGGATGACAAGGTTTCGAACAAAATTTATTGTTCATAATCATATCAATTGTGATCACACGACTTTGACACTTGAGTTTGATAGTTTTCTTTGTTCTCTTCTATTTGTCTTAGGGGTAGTAGAATTTTCCAGATATCTGTGTGGATAGGTGTTGAGTTATTCCTATTACATGCATTCTCCTCAGTTGATTCGATAAACAAAGCTCTTATCAATCTCTCCCTATACCCTGTGACATCAGATTTTAAAACTGTCATCCTATCCCATCCTATTGTATGGTTGTGTGTGACTGCATGTAGTGCTATAGCTGCACGATGCTCTAGATTTCTTATCTTATTCGTGTCAACCAATCTAAATTTTACTAAGTTTTCATGTTCAGCTAGTCTGACTGCCCCTGTTCTACTAGTTTGACCTATGTATTTGACCTGACAATCATTCCAGCAGGATATTAGATAAACTAAATTGTTTTGTTTTAAAGGTTCTACAGGATCCTTTAACCCACAAAGCTTGTTTCTAATTGAGTTTGTGGGTTTAAATTCCTTTTTTATTCCTGTCTTGTTAAGAATTCAGCGTAAGGCTTCCGAGGTTCCTTCCTTGTATGGAATTACTACTGATGATTTAGATTCTGTATTGTTGGTGTCGTCACCAATATTATTATTATCACTATTATTATCATTATTATTGTTATTATCACTACCGCTATTATCATTATTTATTTTATTTTTACATTTCCTTACATATTTCCTGACTAATTTATCCGGGTAATTATTAAGTCTCAAGGCTTCTTTTATATGTATCAGTTCTTGGTTTAGATTTTCTTTGGTACTACTTAATTTTTGTGCTCTGTCATTTAAAAATTTCACCAATCCTTATTTTTGCTGACATAGGATGGGATGATTGGAAGTCCAAATATCTGTTTGAGTGTGTGGATTTCCTGTAAACACTAGTGTTTACCCTCCCATCTTCTTTCCTCGTTACGTTGCTATCTACCATTGGCAGCTCCCCTTCCTGATTTTCCAATCCATAAGTGAATTGAATTGCTTCAACCTTCGAGTTTATGTGTTCGAAAAACCTACCTTTATCTTGTGTTCTAAGTACAGTGAATGTGTCATCTACGTACCTCCACCATACTTTTGGGGTGGGGTTGAACATTTCAATCGCTATGCTTTCCCACTTATTCATGAATATATCTGCTACAACTGGGTATATTGGTGATCCCATGGCAACTCCCTTAGTTTGTTTGCATATTTTCCCTTGGGATTTAAATACTGTGGAAGTCAGGCATAGCTGTACTCCCAGCATTATGTTCTCAAGTGGCACTTTTGTCCGAAGTTCAAGTTCTTGATCAGAAATGAGTTCGTTTCTGACTGCCTCCATAGCCATATTTATTGGTGTACGTGTGTATAAACTGACAATGTCAAAACTAACCATTTTTTCTTCCTTATCTAATTTTAAATTATCTAATCTATGTTTCAGTTCATAAAAATTTGTTAGTCTAGATTTTGAGTGGCTTTTAAGGGGGTTTAATACCATGGCTAAATATTTACATAGTTCATAAGTAAGTGGATTTTTACAATCAACTATGGGCCTAATAGGGTATCCTGACTTATGAACTTTAACAAACTTATATTCCGTTGAATATAAATACATTAGTATGTCACCCAGTTGTTTATTCACATTTTATCTTATGTGCTGAATGACTGTAC